TTATGCATCAATAGCAGCAACAGCTTTTCCAGGTTCTGCAGTCATTTGAGCAAAATTGTAGAGACATCCAGCGCTCTCCATTAAAAAAAAAAGTAAAAAACAAAATCCCAGAAAACAACACAGTTCTGTTACTCTTGTGGTACCTGGCACCATTTTTTTTAAGTTAGCTTCTCAATCATCATCTGGAAGGAAACCATTCTGAGCAACATCATTAAAAACAGCTCTGGTAAAGCACGGTCACTACTATATATCATAAAGCAGGTCCATATATGAGTGAGTACATATCATGTTTGTCTTTTTGTGATTGGGTTACCTCGCTCAGAATGGTTTCTTCGAGTTTCATCCATTTTCCTGCAAATTTCAAGATTCCATTGTTTTTTTCTGCTGAGTAGTACTGCATTGTGTAAATGCACCACATTTTCTCTATCCATTCTTCTGTTGAGGGGCATCTAGGCTGCTTCCAGTTTCTGGCTATTACAAATAATTCTGCTATGAACATGGTTGAACAGATGTCCTTGTTATATGAATGTGCTTCTTTTGGGTATATGCCTAAGAGTGGAATTCCGATCCTTTCCAACATGAACTGTCATAGGTATTTTTGATTTTAGCTATTCTGACAGGAGTAAGATGGTATCTCAATGTTGTTTTGATTTGCATTTCCCTGATGGCTAAGGATGTTGAACACTTTCTTATGTGTCTTTCAGCCATTTTAGATTCCTCTATTGAGCATTGTCTATTCAGTTCTGTACCCCATTTTTTCATTGGATTGTGTGGTGTTTTCAAGAATAGCTTCTTGAGTTCTTTGTATATTTTGGAGATCAGCCCTCTGTCAGATGTGGGGTTGGTGAATATCTTTTCCCAGTCTGTGGGCTGTCGTTTTGTCTTGCTGACTATGTCCTTTGCCTTACAGAAGCTTCTCAGTTTCAGGAGGTCCCATTTATCAATTGTTGATCTCAGTGTCTGTGCTACTGGTGTTATGTTCAGGAGAACACGTCTTTATGACCGCTGTCTCTCTCTGTGTCAACACCACAAAGGCTTAATTGCTATCTTGGTTTCCTTCCTGTTCTTGTGATAAAGTGCTCTGACACGGCAACTTAAAGGACAGAGGATTGGTTTTAGCTATTAGTCTATGCACAGTATATCACAGAGAGGAAATCAAGGTGGTGGCAGCTTGAAAGAGCTAGTTGCATCATGTCCTGTTCAGGAGAAGGCAACATGTGCACACATGCTTCTCATCTCGCTCCACTTATGTAGTCCAGGATCCCCTGCCCAGGGAATCCTACCCACAATTAAGATGGATCTTCCCACATCAATTAATGTAATCAACAAAATCTCATATAGGTAGCCTAGAGGCCCATCTCCCAGGGGACTATAGATCTGCCACATTGACAACACTCACAACAGACTTACCTTAGGTTTATTCTAAGTATTATGGCTAAGGAAAGTAAGCATCCCTGTCAGGTAGAATCAAACACAAATCCTCTCTCAAGAACAAACTTTACAACCTACCACAAAAAAATTCTTCATTCCACCATCATTCTGCACACACTCATTGTAAACACATGACCATGAATGAGCTACAGTAGAGGCAGCAAACCACAAAATCATACATGTAAAGACTCTGGTTACTAGAATTATCAAAACCAACGTAAACATAATGTAAAACTAAGGTGTCAATTAATTAATTAATGGGTATGCAGTAGTAAATATGGAAAAAGGAGTTATGAAAATAATCTTCAGCAATGAAAAACAGCAATTGAAAGTAGACTATAGGTAGATGACATTAGTATTTCATTAAACACAATGAAAGAAACAATTGTTGACTTGGAAAGTAAGGCTGAAGAAGCATGTGAGACAGATATAAAAAATATGAAAAAGATTAACAATCAGGAGATCAAGAAATGTACAATGTACGTGCTATGAAGAAATAAGAATTAAGAAGATCCAGTGTTTTCCAGAAGTGTTAAGAACATTAAGGATTTCAAATCGCCCAAAGCGACAAATAACAAGAAAGAGAAATAGACAGTGAAGGGACAGATTGGAAATGCAGTGAAGGGAACAGAAGCAGCCAAGCTGAAAAATAAGCAACAAACAAAAACTCCGAGCCCCAAACATCTACAACGACATAGCTAACGCTTCAGAAGTCACACTGGCAATGGGAAGAATAGAAAATAAACGTCTAAAGTATGGAAAGAAACCAGCTTTCAGGCTGAATTCTATACTTAGCAATGCCATCTTTCAAAACCAGACATTTTCTCATAGAAACTTGGGTGGATTTACTACCAACACATTCACAATAAACTTCTTTTTTTGAGTCTTTTTTATTTTAATTTGAAAGAAAATTATTTTACATGTCAATCCCAGGTCCCTCTCTCTTCCCTCCTCCCCTGCCCCCGCCAACTAACACCCTACCTATCCCATACCCTTTCTGCTCCCCAGGGAGGGTGATGCCTCCCATAGGGGGTTTTCAAAGTCTGTCTTATTCTTTGGGATAGGGCCTAGGCCAACCCCCTTGTATCTAGGCTCAGGGAGTATCCCTCCATGTGGGATGGGCTCCCAAGGTCCATTCCTATGCTAGGGATAAGTACTGATCCACTACAAGAGGCCCCATAGATTTCCAAGGTCTCCTCACTGACACCCACATTCAGGGGGATCTGGATCAGTCCCATGCTGGTTTCCCAGCTATCAGTCTGGGGACCAAGAGCTCTCCCTTGTTCAGGTCAGCTGTTTCTGTGGGTTTCATCAGACTGGTATGGACACCTTTGCTCATCAGTCTTCCTCTGCAACTGGATTTCAGTTCCGTTCAAGGTTTAACTTTTGCTTCCACCAGCTGTTGGATGAAGGCTATACAATGTCATATGAATTAGTCATCAATCTCATTATCAGGAGAGGACATTTAACCTCTCATCTGTTGCTTATGCTTAGATTGTTAGTTGGTGTCATCTTTGTAGCTCTCCAGACCCTAGTGCCTGATTTTTCTTTAAACCTATAATGCTCCCTCTATTATATTATCTCTTATCTTGCTCTCTTCTGTTTTTCCCCCAACTCAACCTTCCTGCCCCATCATGTCTTCTTCACCCCTCCTCTTCTCCCCTTCTCATTCTCCTAGTTCCCGCCCCCCTCCCCCCATGCTCTCAATTTGCTCAGGAGATCTTGTCCCTTTCCCCTTTTCCGGGGGACCATGCATGACTCTCTTAGGGTCCTCCTTGTTTAATAGCTTCTCTGGCAGTGTGGGTTGTAGGCTTGTAATCTTTTGCTGTATGTCTAAAATCCATATATGAGTGAGTACATAACATGTTTGTCTTTTTGTAACTGGGTTATCTCACTCTCACTCAGAATGGTTTCTTCTAGTTCAATCCATTTGCCTGTGAATTTCAAGATTCCATTGCTTGTTTGTTTGTTTTTTCTGCTGAGTAGTACTTCATTGTGTAAATGTACCACATTTTCAGTTTGGTACAGAGTATTGGTATTAGCTCTTCTTCTGGTAGAATTCTGTACTGAAACCATCTGGCCCTGGGCTTTTTTGGTTGGGAGACTTTTGATGACTGCTTCTATTACCTTAGAGGTTATAGGTATGTTTAAGTTGCTTATCTGTTCTTGATTCAATTTTGATAAGTGATATCTGTCCAGAAAATTGTCCATTTCCTTTAAATTATCCAATTTTGTGAAGTACAGGTTTTCAAAGAATGACCGGAAGATTCTCTGTATTTCCTCAGATTCCATTGTTATTCCTTTTCATTTCTGATTTTGTTAATTTGCATGTTCTCTCTCTACCTTTTGGTTAATTTGGATAAAGGTTTGTCTATCTTGTTGATTTTCTCCAGAAACCAACTCTGTGTTACCTTGGATTCTTTGAATTGTTTAGACTTTATTGATTTCTGCCCTCAGTTTGATTATTTCCTGGTGTCTACTCCTCTGGGATGAATTTGTTTCCATTTGTTCTAGAGCTTTCAGCTGTTTGTCAACTCTCTGGTGTGACTATTCTCTAGTTTCTTCATGTGAGCACTTAGAGCTATGAACTTTCCTCTTAGTACTGCTTTCAAAGTGTCCCATAAGTTTGGATATGTTGTGTCTTCATTTTCATTGAATTCTAGGAAGTCTTTAATTTCTTTCTTTATTTTTTCCTTGATCCAGGAATAGTGTGCAATTGCCTGTTGTTCAATTTCCATGGGTTGGTAGGTTTTCTGCAATTTGTGTTGTTTTTGAATTCTAACTTTGAAGCATAGTGGTCCGATAAGACACAGGGGGTTACACAATAAAACTTCTAAAGACAGTTCTTCCTAAAGTCAGGAAGATTTGTGATCCATAACAATGGGAAGGGTGAATGTTAACTGTGTCCAATGATAGCATTAATGTCTAAATTGTGCGGCTAATGACAAGAGTGTTTTACATATAAGTTGCAGCAGGTGGTGACTGATATGGTACAGATTGAAAGTAAAGCTATAAACACTAAACTTTTAATGATGTGTGTTAAAATTTCCAAGATAACCCCTAAGATGATAGACATAAGTGTTGATGTCTTCATTATTACTGTGATTATGGTTATGTCCAGAGATTTTGTAGAAAGAAAAAGGGAAGGGGCTCACATACTGACACATACACACTAAGAGAGAGGGGGCAGGGGGAATTTTGTGATCAAATAAGTTTTGAAGCCATCATATTTCCTGCTTAACTTCTCTGTTTTCTTCTCAGCCAACATGTATTCAAAATCCCTAGGTGGGGATGGTAGGTTTGTAGTTCTCCCTGTGTTTGTTTGCCCCAAGAACCTTTATCACATGGACAATCCATTAACACATTGAAAATATCTTTCATGTTGAATCTGTATCCTCAAAAGGTTGAGTGACTAATAGAACCACCCAAGCTTGAAAAGAATAGCAGAGAGCCTTAAAGCGAACTTGGTCAAGGGAAAGTTAAAAATACTATTGTCCAGTGATACTAGGAGATATAGGACATGTATACATTACAATCCACTAAACTAGAAGTAATAATAAAGACTCTACCTAACAAATAGGTTGATGAGTTGCATTTGCAAGGCTGTTGGATCATCTGGGAACATGGCCAAGCAATTCTGGGGAGAAGACTTGGCACTGGATGTGGCCTTGTGTTCTTTAGGAGAGAGAAAAAAAGATTAATTTATTCTGTAAGTCATAATATATTACCTAGAAGCCAAATTACTAGTCAAAATCCTGCTTTCATGTAGGTGTACAGTACTACCACAGCTTTCACCTGAATTGCAGAATACTGCCCCTTCATGATCAAATGGAATCCAAATTGTCTTCTCAGCCATTTCCAGTGTTTCAAAATTTTCTCCCCAAATGGCAGGTTTGTGATATTTTTAATTATAATGGAATCGTACTCATCCATTCTAAACACAGCTGTTTGGTTATAGAGCAACAGGAAATAATCACACTTATAAAAGAGTGTTTGCCAAGAAACTAAGACAAGAGAATTCTGAATTTTAGGCCATCCTGGGCTATATAATAAGATCTTGTCTTTTAAAAGAAAATGCAAAACAGCATTGGGGAGCTAGGTAGCTGGTTCAGGAAAGTGCAACAACATAAGCATGAGGTCCTGAGTTCAGACTCCCCAGCACTGGAAGGGGAGAAACAGGAGGATCGCTGGGACTTGCTGGCCAGCCAGCCTAGCCAATCCAGTGAGCTCCAGGCTTAGGAGTTCAAATAACTATTTCTTCTACAACTAAACATTTTGAAAATGTCCAAGCAAAGGGGAGGGTGGGCTCTATTTAGCAGGCAAGTCTTCTAATTTTTATGCTGTTTAGAATATAAGATGCTGGGTTGTTTTTTTTTTTTTTAAGAAAAACTATAATACTTAACTTATACCCTTTGACATCATTTAATGTCCTGGTGCTTTATGTATCTGTGTGCACTGGCTGATTTTCTGTGAAGACTTGGAGAAGTCTGAAGGCTTCATCTTTACAGTCCTGGAAGACATTGACAAGCAGCAAGCAGAGACACCCTTTGCCTGCCTCTGTCCTGGAATGCCTTCTGTGCAAGCTTCTCTTGATCTCCAAATCCTAAAGTGTGCAAATTCTACCTCTTCCTCAGAGCTTCCCTTGACAACTGTAGCCCACTTCAGCCCTCTCCCACATCTCTGATTTTCTGCTACCTGATGGCCCGAACATCCCACTGTCTTACATCATCCCTTCCCACTAACCTGTCTTCCCAAACAAGAGAGCCTGAAGGCAGGTCCGTGCCTTGCATTCATGATTTTTACTCAAGTCGGTGAATTTACAGTCCACAGCCCCTACTTACTGATCAAGTGACTCATGCAAGAATCAGAGTTCATCTGTTCAGAAAACAATTGTTCAGGCTGTTCTCTGACAATAGCAGAGCCCCCAGTTATCTGTTGTTAAGCAGTTATTTATATGTTGCACGTTTTCAAAACCTTATGTAGACACCAGACTCTAGCAACCATTGCTTCTTGTTTGTGCTCGTTATTCTGTTAGAATGAATGCAGAGTAAAGGTTCTGTATGTGACAGGGAACTGCTGTGGATGAGAAAGGGTGTCCAGGTGAGGCTATGGGCAAGCCTTACAGCCCTCTACCCCATGCCCAGTCCCCACCCACCACCCACCACCACCCCTTGCTATGGTTTCTCTTGAAGCAATTTTTCCCAAACCCTCCAGTTTACAGCCTTAAAGATCTGCTTTGAAGACTAGGATTTAGAAACATGTGGTTAGCCTTGCTCCAAGGTTTTGCAAAGTCAACAGGAGGCACTTTGATTATAGCTGTTTGTTCTCGGGGGACAGTGAGTTTGCCGAAAATTAGAGATGGAAAATTGCCTCTTCTAACAGATCAGGCCAAGCCTGTACAGCAAGGCTGGCTGAGGCAGGCTGACTGCTAATGCACGGCTTGAACAGGTTGGCAGACAACCTGATGCAGCTCCACCGCCTGGCTCCTCCTCAGAGCAGGACCGCAGTGGATGGCACAGTTCAATGTTGTCACTGCGTCAGTCCCTGGGGGATTTAATTCAGTGGCTGCAACTGTATGGGAATAGAGTGTTATTTAGAGTAAGAGCCTTAACCGGTTTCTGTTTGGGCATCTCGGTGTCTTTCAATTATGTGCACAATTTGAGAGCCCAGATGCCCCCCCCAGACCATACAGGTATATATTTTTAATGGGACTCAATTCATAAAAATCCCAATTAATCAAATTGTTAAATTGTGGAGATGGATTTTTTTGTAAAATGTTTATTTATTTGTGTGTGTGTGTGTGTGTGTGTGTGTGTGTGTGTGTGTGTGTGTGTGTGTGTTCATCTGTCTATCACATTCATACAGTATTGGTGGAGGCCACATGAGAGGTTCTATTCTCCTGGGATTGGACTTACAGATGGTTATGAGTTGCAGTGTGTGCTGGTAACTGAACCTGGATCCTCTGGAAGATCAGTCAGTGCTCTTAACTGCTGAGCCATCTCTCTACCTCTGAGACAGATGATTCTTCTTAACCACAAAAGGATCTGGTAATCAATTTTAGGGTGGTCTTATTAGCCAATCATTCTCCTAGTGACTATCATATTACATTGATGGATTTCTTTTTCTACTGAACTTAGCTACAACACACCACCATGGTGACTAAAGCCCATGCTTTGACTTCAGCCAAGAACCAGGTTGGAAACCAGGAGCTGTCATTTATTTGCAATGTATTTGGATTAGCTCTGACCTCTCCCCCCTCCCCCAATACAAAGGACTAAGCACACCCCTCTGTCAGGTAACAGCCAGTGAGACTCAATAGATAAGTGAGTCATCCTACTTGTATGTTATTAGAGTATATGTATGAAGGGTTTCTCACCCACATTCTATTTAAAAGCACCTTGCCGTTTGCTTGGTTCAATGTGTGATTAACTTTCATTGCTGTGTGGCTCTTCCCTTCATCTGTCCTTCTGTTGTCTTCTAGGCCTTTCTTTCATCCACCCATCCTAGAGCATTGTAATTAAATGCGTTAGCTACCACATTGGGTCTAGGTGGAGAATTATCCTAAAATAATGATTCCCAAGTAGCCCGTGGATCTCTGGCAGAATCTCCTGGCCAAAATACCAATTCCTATGGCCCAGGTCCAGGGCTTCTGACAGAATCACAGTGGGGAGGGGAGGAATGTGTATTGTGATATCCTCCTCCATGTTATTCAGATGTGAGCTAAACTCCCACTGGGAAATTTGGGGGTATCACTTGGGAGCTCTTGGTCTTGTTAAAAAAAATAATTTAAGAATGGGCCCAATAGAAGTTTGTGAACAATTGTGTTAGAGTTTGAAAGAAAATCCCTAGGGCAGGCAAGCTATAAATCTTGGCAGCTGCTCAAAGAGGGAGATGGAGACCAGGAGGAAGAGAGAAAGCCGTATCAATTAAACCAAGGTAGCACAGAGGTCAGCACCTGGTGGACAAGTAGTCTCATGGCAGAAAGACAGTTTCAGAGAAAAAGTAAGGAAGCCCATAGGGGCACAAAAGACAGATGCCCTGGTCAGCATCCAAAAGAGACAGAAAAGAAGAAAAAGGGGAAGTTATACCTTCCGATCTTAGTAGAATGGCTTAATGTGAATCTGACTTCCTGAGGGCTGGTCTCTTAGCCAGGTAGGTTTCATCCAATCTTTAGGCTAGGATGTTACAATAAATCTTTTTGCCAAAAGCCTCCTGAGCCCCACCGTCACGTGTGAGCTTTATGCCAGTCGCCCGCCCGAGTTAGGCCCAAATGAATACACAGAGAGACTTGTATTAGTTACAAAGCTGCTTGGCCAATGACTAGGATTCTCATTTGTTAGCTCAGTCTCAATTACCATACATCTATATATCTTATGGAACTTATCTTATAGGACGCCTTATTGGCGTCCCTCCTTGCTGGTGAATCATATCGTGTCGCTGGAACAGGAGCCGAGGGGAAAAAGAGGGCGACACTTCCTTTTTCCTCTTCTTAAATATGAGTCTCCTTGCTATGTCACTTCCTGTCTGGAACACCACTTCTCTACTACATTTCCCAGAATCCTCTTTGACTCCTAGTCCAGCCTAACCTGCTGTCTCATTGGCCAAGCAAGTACTTTATTTATAAACATACACAGAAGTGTTTCCCCCATCACTAGGAGCTAATAGCAAAGCATTCCCTTTATGGACCTTTTCCATTACTACAATAGCAGCCCAAGAACAGAGAAGAGTGCCTTTTCTACTTAACATCACAGGCCATACACTGCCTGCTTCTGTAGTTTGCTCTTCAAGCCATTCTTGGACTAAGTCTACCCCCCTGGACGATACTACCTTTCCCTTTCCTTTCTTAAAGGCATTAGCTGTGATCCCTAAGGCTGACAGGGGAGTGTGTGCACCATCCCATTCCAGCCAGCAAACACTGAGTGAAGAGGGTCTCTTCTGGGTGAGATACTGTATAGACTTTGGGGCCACGCAAAGATGAGTAAGAGAGCAAAGCATGGCAGCAGTTGGCTGAAGCAGGTGGATCACAAGGCTCAAAAGAACATCCAAACCTCCTCATGACAACTCCATGAAAGCCTATCTCTAAATAAAAAGTTTTCTTAAAAGGGGGCTAGGATGCGCATGTGGGATGGGGTGCCTGCCTAGTGTGTATTAGGCTCTGGTTCATCTCCCCCTTTATATTACAAAAGGAAAACAGAAAAAAAAGGTAAAGGTCAAGGCAGCAATAAATTCAAATGAGCAATTTCAGCAAGTGACAGAATTCAGTGTCAATCATGTTGTGAGGATATGAGCATATCCGTTAAGCAGAGAAGAACAGAGGAAACTCCCACCTTGACATATGTGTGCATAGTCCTATGGATGGCACATTATTAGGAAAAGGCACTGGCAAGGTGTGTAATATTAAGTGTGTGTTGCCAACAACTGAAGACAGCTTGCTCACCCACAGCTATTTAATAATTCAGGTAAATAATAGTGACTTCCAAGGACTTGACAGGTAGTAGTTCTTTCTGACTAACTTGCTTCCAGGTGGTATATTGTAAGGACGGCAAATCTCAGACCCAAGCCTGCCACCCACATCTGTTGGCACCCAAGACCACACAGTCATACAAGATGCTTTATTATTGGTGCCTTCTCTTAACCTCTCTGCCAAATGCCTTCCATGTCAGCTCTACTCCTGGTAGATACAGTCCTATTCTCTTCGGAGTTTCAACTAGCCCCCAGAACAAGATACTAAATGCTCTGGTAAGAGAAATGACATTTGATCCAATGGGGCTTTCAGGCTGACAACATGACACTGCATGTGCTCACAGAGAGGTAAGATGCATCTGTATATTTTAATTAATTTAGTCTATTAAAAGCTACTCAATTAGCTCTCTCTCTCTCTCTCTCTCTCTCTCTCTCTCTCTCTCTCTGTGTGTGTGTGTGTGTGTGTGTGTGTGTGTGTGTAGGTGCAAAGTTGATGTCAGGAGTCTTCCTTGATCACTTTGTACCTTATTCAGTGAGGCAGGATCTATCACTTAAACTCAGAGTTCTTCAACACAGTCTAGCTAGCCAGCTTGACCTGGGAATTCCTTGTCTCTGTGCTGAGACTACAGGCAGGCCACAACTCCCCCAGCACTGATGTGATGCTGGGGACCTGAACTTGGGTCCTCACACTTGCACAGCAAGTGCTTTACCCTCTGAGCCTCCTCCCTACTTCCCCACCTTGGTTTTCGAGACAGCCTTGGGTTCACTGATAAGGCTGGGCTGACAGGCCAGTGAGCACCATCCATGCTCCTCTCCAGCTGTGGAATCATGACAACACTATCATGTCTGGCTTTTTTATTTGTACACAGGTTCCACTTATCTAAGGCTAGTCCTCATGTGTGCACCGCAGCTACTTTATGGACTGAGCCACCCCCCTACCCGACCTGCTCAACTGGTCTTGGAAAAGGCCTTTCTAACTCTATTTACAGTAGTGATCAATCTCTTTACTACAAGTGGAAGTAGAGAGGGTGAAAGCACTTTCAGCACTCCTGACTGTCCAAGGGACCTCTACATAGCATATTCTTGATAAGGAGTATTACTGGGTCTCCTTAAAGCCATTATGGAAATAAGTATGGAGGTTCTTCAGAAGATTAAAAAGAGATCTACCATATGAGCAAGCCAGCTACACCACTCTTGAGTATTTACCTAAAGGACCCGAGGTCACACACCACAGAAACACTTGCATGTTTGTGTTTATTACTGCACTATTCACAACAACTAAGAAATTAAACAGAGAGGGAAGAGTAATAACTCCAGGTTCTTAGCAGTCACTGGCATTTCTGTTTCTCACACTGACTCATCAGAGGGAAATTTTCTGGCTACAGTGGTTTGAGAATAGCATCTTTCCCCACAATTCCCCACCACTTCAGATCTGAGCACAGAGCATTCCGTGCCATTGAACCCACTCTCTGTGCTTCCTCATAGCTGGCAGGTGTTTCAGGGTCTTATGCTTCATGCAGCCCCCTGATCAAGGCCACGATGGGGGCAGCAATGTTTCATAGCTTGCAAGTCTAGAGGAGAGAACAATGTTTAGATTTTGTGCTATCAGAATCCCTCAGTTCTAACACATTTTGTGTTATATGGTGACGTGTCCATGAGGCTGTGAAACGGAATTTCTCCAAGTTTTGATATCACAGAATACCAACTGACAATATTTTTAAATATGGGCTTATAAATAATTTCTTCAAGAAAAACTGTCTTTTTGGGGCAGCAGCAAGCGTCGATGACAATATCAACAAATGAACACACAACAAAAACAAAGCAAAATCATTTGATCTTGAAATATATGGGTAGCAAATCGCTTCAACATTTTTCAGAACTATGATTAAATGGTTGTTATAAGTTTTATGAGCATGCTCTCCAAGCACATCTATGGACTAGTCATGGAACACATTATTATTTTGGGAGTTTATTACATACACATTTTTCTTTAAAACATGTATTCTTTAAGAGCTTCACATGTGCATATAATGTGTTTTGATTAAATCAGCTCCCCATTCCTTCCTCTCCAACTCTTATCCCCTTCCCCAGTTTTTCCTCCCAACTTGATGTGCTATTTTTTTTTATACCTATTGGGTTCACTTAGTAGCTGCCCGGACCATCTACTAGAGAGAGCATGGTGATTCGAGATATTTGATCACATGATGAACCACGAAAGTGTGCTAGTAAAATCAACCTTGGATCAGGACAGGGAGCCAGCAACTAGGTGACAGGAATTAGCCATAGAGAGTACAAGGGAGCCAGGAAGATGGATAAAGAGATGCACAGGAGTAGTCGTGAGGGGCTTGGAGTTTGACTGCGTTTTTGGTTTGGGATGGCTGGACTCTCTCTTGCTATCCAAAGAGGAAGGTCAGCTGTTTGCTTCTCGGGTGCTAGCAGGTTTTCACCTCAGCATCTGAATCTCAAGTCTTTATTGGTAAATACAGCAATAGCAACTTTGGAAGCAGCGGCGTAAGCAGTGGGTACTGACTATGGGGCCACAGAGAAGAGTTAAAACAACACTTGGGGTACCCTCTCAGGTGCTGCATCCCCCCAGCAACCATCAGTTGCCAGTGTCTCCTCAGCTAAGGGAGGGACTTCATAAGCTCCTACCTCAGCTTTTGGCTGGCTCGAACTTGTGCAGCATCGGAAAGGCAGTTAAAGAAAAGAGAACAGATGACCGTGAAGCTACTTGCTTTTGTTCTTTGGTCTCTACTATCCTTGTCCCTGGTGCTTTGGAGACAGCAGGAGTCTAGAAGAGGGAGAAAGACCCTGCAGAGCAGAAGGCAATGCTGCTGACACTCCTCAGCAGCTGCAATAGACAGGAGCGCAGGACAGTCATCAGACAGGCTGCCCAGAGGGCAAGCGGCCGCCTCCAGCTCACCAATAGCCCAACCACCACCACATACCAGGAAGCAGGAGTGGGTACCAAAGACTGGTGAAGATGTTCCAGCCATCTCATCTCCTACTGAGTGCTTTCTCCTCTCTCCCATCTTTCTTCTCCTCCCCCTCCTCTCATCTCTCTTCTTCCATCTGTCATTTTTCTGTAAATAATTGCTAAAGCGCATCCCCCTTTTTAACTTAAAACCAAGACTATTATGCAACTAGAAAATGAACACATGTCAAACATTGAACTTGGTTTGTCCATAAACAGTGTAATCAGAAAGACATGGCAACTGGTTTAAAGAATTCTAGCAACCATACAAGGACTTTGGGAGTGAATGTATAAATAAGTGCAAGACACTTTCGGGGGGGTGGGGGGAAGGAAACTAATTTACATTTCCATGACAAATCATTTGTCTTATTATCATTGCTATATACTTTACAGAGCTGTAAAATAGTTCGGAGTCAATGAAAGGAATGATGATTCCGATAAGTAAGCTACAATAAGTTCTACGTCATGGTAAATACAACGTTAAATGTTAGCTACTATTTATTATCACAAAGTTGTATGTTTGGAATCAGAATGATTAGGATTCAAACATTACATCAGCTGTTTATTAATTAGATGTTTAGGCAAAGAAACTCTCAGATCAAATTTCTTACCAGCATGTACTTTCAGCTTATTTTGTGATTCTGAAGAATAAATAGAAACATGCTTATAAAGCAGCCTGCATGGAGCCTAGCACAGGTAAGCATGCAATCATATTCTTTTATTGTTATTTAATATCATGATTTTATTGTGACTGTTTATTAAGATTGACATGTTAAAATTTTTAACTTTTATTTCTTAATAATAATCAGTTGCTATTCCCATTATTGGCATCATAACACTATCTTTTAACATAGTGGCTCATGGGAATAAAACACAGTGTGCGCACGTACCCCCCCCAGTCCCCCCCATTCACCCAGACACACTGGAATCAATAAATAAGATAGGAAACTTCAAGGAACCCAACCTGTTCATCCCTCCATTTTTAGAAATAGGAAACCACTATTCAGTGGAGCTAAGCTCAT